GAAGAAAGAAGAAGAAGAAGGAGGAGGAGGAGGAGGAGGAGGAGGAGGAGGAGGAGGGAGAAAAACTGTTGGATTTCCCTGTGGAAATTGACAAACTGACTCTAAGATTTTACAAATTGGTATTTTTCCAAGAAGGAAGGAAGAAGGGAGGGAGAAAAGGAAGAAAAAATAGAGAAAGAAAATTTAAAATCTGGTTAAAACAGGATGGAAAAAATAGTTGCAAATCACATATATTATAGCCAGGCGTGGTAACTCACGCCTGTAATCCCAGCATTCGGGAGGCAGAGGCAGGAGGACTGCCACAAGTTTGTGGCCAGCCGAGCTACATAGCGAGTTCAGGGTCAGCCTGAGCTACATAGCGAGTTCAGGGCCAGTCTGAACTATAAAGTGAGACCCTGTCTCAAAAACAAACAAACAAACAAACAAAAATCACATATATTATAAAGGAATTACATGCAAAATATATAAAAATTCTGTGGGTCCACAAGTAAAACACAAAAATATTTCAATAAGAATATGATTTGACCAGACCACTGAAGATCTCCGGGAGGTGGGCAAGCACATGCAGACTCACTCAACACCACAGTCCGATCGGGAGTGCAGATCCCGGCCAACGGGACGCCACCATGCACATTAGAACACCTCAGGTTAGAAAGTCTGACCACACCGAGCGTTGGCAGGCTGAGAAAAACTGCTGAAGCAAACAAAACAAACCCATGAGCCAGAATACTGTATTCACTAGGGCAATATCCTACAAAATGAAGGAACATCACAGGCGACCAAAATCTAGAAGACTGGTTCCATCAGCTCTACATTTCATAAATATTAGTGAGATTTCTTTGGGAAAAAGGAAAATAATACAAGAAACTCAGACCTAAATGGAGCAATGGGTTACTTTAAGCAGTAAATATATAAATAAATGCAGAAGCCTTTTAGAATAAATCTTTTCAATCCCTTGAAAGTACAATTGACTGTTCAAAGCAAACAGAAGCATTGTACCTTAGAGTCCGTAGCCTAAGTCAAATTAGAGCCCTTGGGAGCTCTAGCACAGAGGAAGGGAGGGATGGGAGGCCCAGTGTCCTGAGGGTCTTGTGTCGTGTCTGAGATGGTGCAATCTGCCTGGAATGCAGCCACATAACACACACATGGCAGGCACCATGGCAAAGTGAAAAATTAAAATGCAGAGCACCACAGACAAGCCAAAGGTGGCAATAAGGTGAGTCACTGAGACAGCCTAAAAGCATCAAATACAACAAACATAAAGAAGAGCCATATAGGCCAAGGATTCAGCTCAGTAGTTCCGCTCTTGCCTCACAAGCACAAGGACCCGAGTTTGATCCTCAGTACCAAAAAAACAAAAAAGAGCCAAAGAACTCAAACAGAAAATAAATAGCAGGATTGTATTTTATCCCCAACCACACTGACACCTCAAACATCGTCATCTCTGTACCTTGAATAAAGAACTGTTCTTGAGGGTGGGTGAATAAAGCCAGATGCAGCTCGTGCTGTCCACAAGGACCCCTCTCTGGGGGCCAGAAAAGCCCAGAATGACAAAAGGGAAGGGGACAGCAAGAATGTGCGGGGCAAACACTGAACATAAAAAGCCGGAGTGGCCACCCAGCACGACACTGTGGACATCGGGATGGGGCAGCCGGGTACAGAGAGCCATCGCCCTCTACTGCAGGGGGTGAGAGGTGGGAAAGACATGCGTGCGTAAGCCATAGACATACAATAGCACCGCTTCAAAACACACGAAGCAAAAGCTAACAGGGTTGTGAGTAAAACAGTCAAACCTACAAATAATTAGCGTCGGTTTTTGTTGTTGCAGTTTTGCTTTTGTGTTACTGGGGACTGAATCTAGGGCCCTCATACCACACTATATCTCCAGCCCCTTTTTTTATTTTTTGAGACAGGGTCTTGCTAAGTTGCTTAAACTGGGCTTGAAATTATGATCCTCCTGTCTCTGCCTCTCAGAGTTCTGAGATTACAGTCTCAGTGATTAATAGAGCACAGTAAAAAAAAGTAATAAAGGTAGAAAGAGTGAACAAATAAAATAGTCAACCAAATGGATCCAGCCCGCATCCATGGAACACACCAAGTATAGCAGTATTTTTACCACACGCACATGAACATTCATAATTACAGATCACAGAAGGACTGGACTCATGCAAATGTAATGTGACCACAAAAGAATTGCATTAAAATTCATAACAGAAATGGACCTAGAATTTTTCTAAACACGGAACTAGACATGTCGGTCAAAGAAGAAACCAGATAGGAAAGTAGAAAGTAAATTCAGCTCGTTAGGAAGGAAAGTGAAGCCTGGATAAGGCTGCACTTAGAAGACAGAGTACAGCAGTCAGCAAGGCCTAACCCCGAGCCAAGAGCCCCATCCCCGCCTCGAGACAGCAAACTAAAGCAGAGGGGAGGGAACAACCTGTGCTGCTGCCAAAGGAAGAAGAGTCGGCCCTTGGTCTTGGGCTTCCAGGCCCTTGCAGATCACCCAGGCCCAGGATTTGCTACAGCAGCACAAGTGCACCGGAACTTCCAGGTGATGTACCCATTTCTGGGCATTTGAGAATATGCCAAATGCCCTCCTCGTGAGAGTCCTTTCCCTGCCTGCAAGTGTCACCATATCTGACAGGAGCACTCTGCCCACCTGAGACCCTGCTCGGGGCCTCGGGACCCAGGGCAGGGTGGGCGCTCACCCAGCCCCACCGCCCTACTCACACTGTCTGCGTCTCCGAGGCTGAGTGACAAACAACACAGCTGGGACAAGCACAGCTGTGTCCTCGCGGATCTGAAGCCGGAAGTCCCAGGTGGGGGCTTTGGGGGGGCCAGCAGAGGGGAATCCAGCTTTCCCAGTCTTTCCTGCTATGTGTCCCCCAGGAGGCCCTATTTCCAAATGAGGTCCTATCCACCGGGCCTGGAGACTGCCACATCTCTTGGGGACACCCTGTGAGGGCCCCAGCTGGGCAGCCCCTGCTCCATCTCCAGCACAAAGTTTACCTTTCACACCGCGTGGCAGGTATAACTGGGGGTCCCCGACTGACACATCTGTACCCACATTTCAGTCCTCCAGGACCCACTTCTGAGTCTGCAGGAGTTCTTGGTCTGGCCAAGGGCCAGCTTGCCCGGTCTGGGCCACCAGGGCCTTGTCACGGAAGGGCCAGGACAGCTAGGGCGGGAACCCTGAGCAGGAGGGGACCCTGGGCCTGGCTCGCTCGCCCCTCCCTCCTGGTTCCTCGGATTCGTAAAGAGCCAGAGAGCTATCCTGCTTTGCTTCGTTAACACCTTGTCACGACGGGATCCAGTCTCCCGCACTTGCGGATCCCAGAGACACCGCGGGGACCGAGTGAGGGCAGGCGCGCCCTGTTCGCCCGGACTGCGCAAGCGCGGGTCGAGGGGGCGGAGCTCCT